AGATCAACACCCCATAATGGTTTAACATGAGTAGGTCGGGCACCCCAGAATTATCCGACAAAATGTACGATTGTATGGGATGTGGTATGATGGGGGAACTCACTAAGCTTCGTGTTCACCGTTTTCAGTTTTGGTTTAAGGTACCTCTTCATCTAAGGGGAAGGAGCTGGCAGGGTAGCAGCGCATCACACACACATGATTTCCGCTTTGAGAACCCTGGGATTGTACTATGATATTTTACTATTTGATGTTATGGTTTTGGAGACTTGTGATCTGTGATTGATGTTTTGAAATGATAACAATGATGTTTCCGTAAACTATTTTTATAAACAATATAATTAAACAAAAAATTTAGGGTCTCGCTTTTGGGATGTTACATGTCTAACTCTTTCATGTATGTGTATCCTTCAAATATCTATTATGTCGTTCTTTTTATGTATGTTGTTGCTTTCCTTACCTATATCTGCATGTAGTATATAATAAATAAATAAAAAACTTGCTTACATAATGTTTACATTCGTTTTTTGTCAGATTCATTAAACAAACGCCACCCTAAAAAAATAGACCCGCTTCATTAAACTTTTCTCAACCACCATATGCAACCTAAAGATCTCTCAAAGGTCAAAAATTGGAATAAACATAAATGCAGTTTAAATGTTATTAATACTTCTCCAACCTACCAAATAAAATTAAACGAATATAAATTAGAATGACCCTTCTTTCCAAATCGTCACACCAACACACAAATAACTCCACTCATAAACAACGAAAAGCATAGACTACGAGATCATGCGCCAAACCTTCATCACCCAGTTGCAGAAAAGGATTCAGATGTTAGAGGCAGCTATGAACAATATCCAAGAAGACATAGCTACCATGAATGAATGTGACGCCAATCTACAATGCTATCCACACTTCTCTACCTTCACCATATGTGAGAAGCTTTTAACTGATGCAAAGAATGAAGATGACTACATGCAAGATAACATCTCCATCAAGATTGCAAACGTGAAAAATAGGATTGGAACCTACAAAAACATTACCAGTGAGCTCTAGAGGAGTACGCATAAGAGTCTACTCTTGAGATAAGGAACAACTTTCTTTTGCATTACCAACTAGACACATATTCATATGATATTTTGCTAATCTTTTGCTATTATCAGTAGACGTTATGATGTTTGTAAGTGATTGTTCCTGATCATAAATAAGTTGGTATTATATTTTTTTTGTTTGTCCTTTACGTTTTATTATTAAAAGGCTAATTCGATCAACAAAAACATTCTCATAAAAATATTAAAAACTTGATAACCAAAATTTAGGAACGGTTCATTGATACTTAAAATTAATGATTTACATTTCATTAAAAAAACATTCATTCTCCAGAAAATAAATAAATATGATAACATAAAATTCATAAAAAGTTTAGAAAAAAATCATGAATGGTTCACTAATATCAGATGAAAATAGTTATAACGATTCAAAAAAATAAAAAATCATAATACCAACTAACCTCCGCAACCTCTTTCCTAGTTGCAACCTCTTTCCTAGTTGTATGTATTTCTTCAATTCTATTTCTTTAACTAAAAAGTTGGACTTTTAATTTAAATTTTATTGTCATGTAACAAATAAATTAAAAAATCCATAATTATTAATTTGTAACGTTGATCAATAAATATGACTAAAAACAATGACATGAAAAATCAATATAAAGGAATCCAACCTAAAGTTTTTGGTTTTCATATAAACTAGTGGGGAATTACTTGTGCCTTTGGCGCTATGTTAAAATTGTTTTCTTAAGAATTGTAGAATATTTAAAGCAAGACACATCGAATAAGTAAACATAGTGTAACTACGAACGCATGAAGTTGTGCAATGTATTAATGTAACCATAATAGAGAAGCGGTTTTCATACCATTTACATGCAGCCAACTACACAACTACAAAAGGAAGATAGTTTGATACACCAAAAGATAATTTAAACTGAAGGCCATTAAACAAACAAACATATTAAAGGTAGGGGTGTTTGTCGTCCGGAGATTTTTTACCTCCTTTTTGAGGTTTCCAATAAGAGTTTCATATTCGTTTTTCATCTCCTGCATGGCCCTCAACAGTTTTGCAGTTTCAAAATTGTTGTCAAATCAGATCTGTTGCATCTTGAGGTAGTTATCAAATGATGGTTCGGCGTCCATGTGCTCAAGTAGCTCCTTCTTGTAGTTTTGATGCTCAAAGGTTTCCTCTTGCATGTTCATTACTGATAATTTTGTTGCCTCGTAGTGAGTGATGAGGTTGTTGATGATCATTTCCATTTCTTGGGGTTTCATTTTCATTTTGGAATGCGTATCTGTTTTCTAGATGGTAGTGGTTTGAGGATGCTGAAGGATATGGATGGTTTTTAAATATGCAACTTCCTATTTAATAGGTAGTTGGATGTTTAATGCAAGTATTACTTTCAAAGGTCATGATTATATATGATGTAGCCTATGGGCGGCGTTTCAGATTACGAATTGATTTCATGGGTTTTTTTAGTAAAAAAACTAATGTTTTAAATATAAGATAATAATGACTTAAATGTAACGTAACATGTGAACATTTGGTGTGACATTAGTAGAATACAACAAAGATAATGGACAACGAAAGGAACATATTTTTGTAATTATGGCATAAAAACGTAAACAGTAAATCTAGCTAACGGGAAGGTTGGCTGCAGCGTTGTTAGTTTGGCGATGTTTTCATTCATTTCTTCTTCCAATGTTGCGATTATATTTGTAGCTTTATTGTCGAATTCATCTCCCTTGTTGAGCATATCTGCTGAAATTGCGTAGTTGAGGAAGTGAGGTTTTTCGGTTAACGTTTTTGCTAAATTTTCTTTCATGGCTCTTCCTACTTGAAGCTTGTGTTTAAGCGTGCGAATGGTTTTTCTTATTTGTATTTTGTGACGTGTGATTGTGTCAATCATACGTTGAACATCACAGGCCTTCATGATGGTGTGGATATTTTTGTTGTGAATTTTTGTTAATGAGTATGTTTTTGTTCGTTTGTCTAAAACTGTATTTATAATTGTTTTTTTTTTATTTTGTTTTAATATTACATGACACGTGTTCTACTTGGCGTATAAAGCAAAATGGTTTTTCAGAATACATTTTCCAAAGTAGAGATGCACAGTTGGAAGTAATTCGTTTACGTATTTTTTTATTTAAATGTATTTATTCATTTATTGGTGTAGGTATTGTTGTATAAATAATGTTTATATATTTATAACTATGAACCCATTACATCTGTCGATATACTATTATTTTTACATTGAACGTTTAATTTATTTATCGATATATGTTTGAAGGAGTAAATGACAAACGATTTTACTACTTAGAAACAAAAACTAAATAATTTTTTTACGTGGTAGATGTATCCTTCATGTTGTGTTTATACCTCCCGATCCTTTTGTGGATTTATCCTAACATGAAAGAAATGTTGTCTTGCATTGATTGATCGCCGATTAATGCATTTTCAAACATGTTATGTAATGTTTGCACGTCAATATCATGAGCGTTATTCGCCATGTATACTTGCACCTTCTCATCAAGGACAAAACTTTCATGCAACCTGGATTGAGCTGCCTCAAGTAGGTCGGCAATTTCTCTTATGAAGTCGATGATGACCGTCAAACTTTTATTGAAATATGTTGTGTTCATATTGATTTTTGTGATGGGGTTATGTGATATGTTTTTTATTTAGTTATCCAACTTACAATTTATGTATATTATATATTGTCCTTTTTTGCATGTAAATATGGTAACGTATACTCATAGATGTCCATGTGTGATGTTTCCTCCTGATAGCATTGCTTATTGGGCTTTTATAAAGCAAGGTGTAAGATGATGTGCGTTGTAATGTTATATTAGTAATGGAAGCTATAGTAGAGTATAACTGATAAGATCATAGTATAAAGGCTATAATTTATTTCCTCTTGATAACATTGCTTATTGGGCCTCTATAAAGCAAGATCTAAGATGACAAGCGTTGTAATGTTGCATTAGTAATGAAAGCTATAGTAGAGCCTACTTGATAAGATCATAGTAGACATGCATGTGTATTGTTTGTAGTAAGAGTAGTATAGATTAGTAAGTTCATGTAATACATATGAGTGTATAATTAGATAATAGGTTTTAACATGTGTATGTAGTTGGTTAGCTAAAAAAGATTTACCTCCTAAGGTATGTGTACGTATATTTTTGGGGTGGAAGGCACTTTCATGTGAACACCCTATGCACTTAAAACTAAAGCTAAAACGTCTAAACTGCTATTAGAAAGAAAAAAAATTGTCTTCATTTCTAAAAGGACATGTAATTTTATATCGTTCTGTATGGAAAATGAAAACATAGAAAGTGGTTTTCTACTTTTATATATACTATAGAAAAGTCGTAAATGATATGTAAGTATGTTATGGTAAGATATATTTTAAAATTTTTTAATAAATTTTATTAGTGTAGTAAAGTGAATTTTTTTGGTTTTTTTGTATTATAAATTGAAAAGAGAAAATAGACAAAAAGTTAAAACTGAATTTATAAACTTAAAAATAACGGTATCCTTTGTACGCAGGGATGTAGTTGTATGTCAGTTTCGAGAGAGAAGTGAAGCTACGAAGAAGTAAAGCTAAGTATATGGTCTATGTACATCTACACATATAATACAAAAGTGATAGTGATACAAAGAAACATGTAGAAGGAGTGTGTCTCTATTTCATCGTAGACGTGGTGTTGTTTGTCTAATCCGTATTCTGTGCGGTTTTACGTTTTGTAGTTGTTGTATCTGCATTAGTTTTAAACTTTATGGTTTATGTACTTTTAAAATTTTTGTAATATATCTATATTTAATGAATGAGCTGTTATCTTGGCTTTCAAATGGTAGGGATCTTCTAACATTCAATCTACTTTGTTAGGGGATGGAAGTTGACTCATTTTCACAGTGTTTTCAAGATGTTGGTTGTTGCATTGGTGGTGTCGTTATGGATATTTTTCTTCATAGGGGGATTTGTCAATATTTGTAACAGTGAACCGAATGTTGTTGTATGTTGATGTATTAGTCATACGTAACTTCATTTTCTTGGGAATTCTTTGTAAAGTACTGGCAATTGGAGGTAAATGTTTTCTGTGGTTTATGTCATCATGTGATATAAGCTTATCTGATGTTGTACCAAATAAGTATTGTGTTGCATTATCAGAAAGCACGACGGTGATTGACTGACTTCCATCCGTAATGATTGCACTAAGTTTGAACCTAAATATTTGCATTATTGATGTAATTTTTTTTGTGGTCAATAAGAATTTTGTAGATGTGTATGCTTACGTGGTAATTGGAGAAGCGAGAATACCATCCGAAGGGCAGAACCAATTTTCTCCTTGTTTAAAAGTTGCAATCTTGCACTTTGGATATTGAACCTGATACCAACAGTCTGAAAAAATATATTCGCGTATGGATGCCTTTGCAGTGAAACTTTTGTCCTGTACAATACAAAAATTATTATTTTTGGTATCAAAACAGAGATACTAATTTTTTTTTTCATATGTATGTGGATATGTAACATACCGAAAGATATGAATGAGTTTTCTCTAATATATCTGATAATAGTGTTAGGGTTCAAAGTTTACTGGTGAATCTTGAAATGTCCCATAACTGCAACATAATAAACCGATGATAAGGAAAGTAGATTTATTTGTGTTGTATTTGTATGTATGAAAATACCCGTCTATAAGAATTGTTGTCTCTGGAATTGGTGGGTTGATATACAAGTGAGTTGCGCTGCTTGTGCCAAGTCTCAATGACCCTTTATGTTATTTGTTAATGAAAAGATCCCAATTAGGTAATTGGGAATTTTTTGATGTATATTTATGACTTTGGAAAGAAAATAAGATGGATTTACCAGCCTAATTCGAGATATTTACACTGCTTATAGCAACAATAGCTAGAGCAGGGGCATTTTCAAGAGAAACACGATCGAACTTTGAAGATATGTTGGTACATTCTTTCCACAAACTTATTGCAATGTCATCACCACTGATGTTTATAGGTTTGATATGTATTAGTATTGTATAAGAATAATAGCAGAAGAAATAAATGCTTACGAATAGTTTTATCATAATCAGTAGTAGATACGGTTCTTTATATTTCTTTGTACAATTAATAAGTTTGCTAAACACACCAAGAAAGTCTGCAAGTGGAAACAATATTTTAGTATAAATTAGGTACAACTTGTTAAACAGGACATAAACATAATTTTTGTTTAAGGTGTGTAATATGTATTATGTATATAGATATGAGAACATGCATGTTGATCCATATAATCTGGAATTTGTTTATTGGAAATGAAGTTAAACCAGTTCGTAGGTATGATGTGTGTGTCTGGAATAACTGTAATTGATGATGTTGTCCCAACAACAATGTCAACGTCTTTTTCTAGCCATTTTTTATAACGGTTTGGGATTCCACATCCATATTTTTCAATTGTATAGCATCTGTTAGGAATAAGGACACATTGTACAAATCTTTGATCCTTTCGTTGTCCCAAAATTTGGATGACATCACCCTTACAAGGAAACCACAAATAATCAACTAAAAATAGAAACTTTGAAAAAAAAAACTGCAATGGGATTTAAGTACTTACATTTTTGTCAACACCGAGAACCATGTTTCCTGAGTCCTTATTTATGGCGTCCACATGCGCAATATTCAAAGCTAAAATCATTGAAACATAGTATTTTCCTTGTAAACTATGTAGTTGGTATTTAACAATATAAAAAAGACATCATCTGAGGCGTAGTCACAAACCTGTATTGCTGTTCCTGGACATACACAATGTATCTCTGAGATTGTTGTTATTATTTGAGACATATTTGGAGTTATGATAATATAGAATTATATTTATGATATTTTAATGCATTAGTAAATATTATACTGTATCTATTATTATTTAAGACATATCTGGAGTTATGATAATATAGAATTATATTTATGATATTTTATTGCATTAGTAAATATTATACTGTATGTATTACTAAATTTAGGTAAAAAAAATAAAATGAAACATGATGTTGTATATGAGTATAAAAGATAAATATGTATTTAACAACGTTTTTGGTTTTGTTATTAATTTTCTCTAGAAAGTCTTTGAAAACAACGTTTTTGGTTTTGTTATTACTAGTTTTTCCGTGAGAATGCATAAGTATTTTGACTGATTTTGGTGATGTAGCACGTGACAATGCAACGTAAAGCTATCCGTGTGTGAAAAACAGTTTGGGTAGATAAATTCCATTTTTTTTAAAGATTGTCCTTGACTTTTGTTAATCGTCAAAGCATAACATACTTTAATTGGAAATTTCTTTCTTATGAAGGTAAATGGCATATCAGGAGCTTTATGGATAAATGTAATATGGGGTAGGAAAACTTTCTTCCTGACAGAGGTACCAGTAATAATTAATGCCTCAATCATATTTGGCAGTAATTGTAAAACCATTAATCCTGTTCCGTTGCATAAACCTTCTTTTTGGTTTATATTACAAATTAGCATGATTGGTGTGTCGATTTTTAATGATAGTGAGTGTGCAAGAATGTTAGCGAAAGTGAGGGCATTCAGATATTCCCATGCATAGAAACTGTTAAAGTCTATACTTTGCTTGCCATTGTATTCAATATTATCAGCACTTTCGTATATCTTTGAAGTACCACGGGTTTTCTGCAAAACCATGTCATTTATTTTTTGGATCATCTCATTTTTGGGATAGACAATTGCTCTACCAGATAAAACATTTGGCAAAACTTTAAATTAAAGAACATCTCCATTGTATTCTGATGCAGGTATAAGAAGTGAATCAGAAATTTCGATCCATCTACTATTTGTCCTATCGACTATATCAATTTCGCCAATTATTCCATCTCCAACCTTTAGTAACCAAGATGCAAAATATGGCCATAAGTATGGGTTTGGAAAGGTGAGAGAAATTATTTCGGAGGGTGTACTCTTTGGAGAGACGGGCAACGACTGTTAGAAGTCCCCACCTAATAACATTGACATACCACCAAAAGGTTTCATTTCACATTCAACGATATCTCTTAATGACCGATCCAAACATTCAAAACAACGTCTGTCACTCATCGGTGCCTCATCCCATACAATAATAGAAGTGCGTTTTAGTAGCTCAACAAGCATTGTACGCTTTCTAATATTGCACGCGTATGAATCTGGAAAGTCAATTGGAATATTGAATCTAGAATGAGCAGTCCTTCCTGATGGAAGGAGCAAAGAAGCTATTCCTGAGGCAGCAACAGCAAGTGCAATTTTTCCTCTCGAATGGAGACAAGCAAGCAAAGTATTCCACAATAAAGTTTTGCCGATTCCTCCATGGCCATAAACAAATATAATGACTTGTTCATGTCTCTCTTCTACATATTGAACTTTGTTGTGAATATAAAGTTGTTCCTGATTCAGAGATAACAACATTTGTTCATGATTGAAACTAAGCACGACTTTATCATATGTCGTTTCACCACCTAATGTACCATAAAGACATGGGATCATTAACATCGCAGAGAAGCAGAATATAATAGAACAGAGAACGTAGTTGAGGTGAAGTTGCCCATTCAGAAGCCTGGATAAAAGCATCCATCCATTCTCTATCATCTCCTATTAGACCTAATGACATGCACCACGGGAATCATAATACATCGTATCTGAAGCAGTATGCAAATCCTCATAAGATTTGCAACCCTTTTGATGACAAAGTAACATTCTTAGGAAAAATAGTTCTCCAACAGTTAGATAAACAAATATAAGACTGCTAAGCGCTTGGGAGTTTGAACGTTTTCTTCTTTTCCAACTTTTTGAACTTTATCCCACCAATATTTAGTAGGATAGGAGGCATATGTAAGATTATGACCAGATGCATCCCACCTATTTTTTTTCAAACCAACCTAACAACAAACTACTACTAAAGCTAGGATCCTCTACAACCTGTTTAATACGGATATTTTCTTTAAAGAAAACTGACTGCATATTTGGCAAATGCACAGGTAAGATCACAACAGGAGGATGCTTGTGAATAGGATAACCAAGTATACGCCACACAACCTCATGAGGATATAGAAACGACCATCGATGTAATCTTTTATCTCATCAACAACCATACCTTGCGCAGAAGTGGAAGGCTCACAAGATTGAACGTCTTTATTAATTACAAATTTAACACATTCCATTCCCTTTGACACATACTTGAATAAATACTTGATCATCATATTCCAATCGCAATACTCTACATTGATATATGCATTGAAACAACAACACAACCTTTTGTTATATGGCACTATGTACCTGTTATCTATTTCAATATCATTTAGTAATGTGTGATTTGAGACTGAATTTCTTTTATAGTGTGCATAACCATCCTTATCAAACACTATACCATAAAGAAATTCCTTTGGGAATTTCTTCTTACACTTACCATCCCTCATACAAGGTGCCTTGTTGTTTAACAAACCACACGGTCCATGTAGTAGATATCTTGTAACAATACCATATAAGATTGTCCCACAAAGTGGATTTGGTAATTCAACAGTAATGTAGTTGTCGATTGATGAAGGCTCCTTTATCTTATGAGAGTCTTCGACCCATATCAGCACATAACAATGAGGCAAACCCCTTTTTTGAAATTCAATTGTATATAAGTCTGCATGGAAAAATATATTACAAACACATGAATAAAAACCAATACAAATATAAATGTATGAATAAATAAAGTTTATATATACTTACATGCTGAAATAGGCCTAAAATTTTTATCAGATTTCAGGTACGCATTAAATGCAACAACTTTCATATTGAAAACGCGCGAAATTATGTCAGCCCTGCTACTAACATCAGATTGGTGATGTGAAATCATGTAACGTGTAATTTCTGGCTACCTAACATTGCATGTGAATGTTATAAAATACTGTGGATTCCCATATTCCCGACAAATAGAAAGGGCATCCTAGTAGTGGCTGTAGATGTACCGTGGACCGCCAACAAAAGATGGAGGCAGAAGTACACACTTGCCAACAGATCGGGTTTCAGTGTTACCACGTGATATTGCATCATAAATACCACTAACATATGCTGATCTTAGTTGCCATTGATTGTGTTCATAAAACTCAAGACACGATAACTCGATACAGGCATAAGCATCAACTAAGTATTGTTGAAACAATCTACATGAATTCAACAACAGAGAGTATATACCATTCCTTGCGTGTATCTGATAACTGTAGTACATGTTAACAGTCATATTCCTAACCTTACTACTCATGTCATTATAAAGCTTCAAACGTGGAGACCAACCTGTCTCACCATACAGAAACATGATAGGATATTGTAATGGTATGTAGGTAGGATGCAGTTTACTAATCCTACATGGAGGGCCTTTTCTAGATGTACACCTATGTCATATGTGCTACCAACCGCATCCTCACCAACAACAATACAACCTAATGTACCCAGAACTGGAGGACCATATAAACAATTAGGAACATCATTAAATAGACAAACTGCATAGTCAACCAAATTCTTCTCAGCAACAACATCTTTCGCAGTTTTAAAGGTTCTAACATATTCATTATGAACTGTAAAAGGATCCATAAGACCTTGAACAATTTTTGGATCCAAAGTGTGATTTTTGGTCTTTTGAAGGGCAGACATCCTATTCCGCAACTCATGTTCTGTATCAGCTATATATAATTGTAAAAACTTAGGACCCTTCTCATCAACGACACCAAAAGCACCTATCCAATGGCAAATCTGACCCGAGACTTTGAAGACATAAGGACCACCAATATTATTAATAGCCTCATCGACCTTACCCCCAAAAGATGTCATACTAAACATATTATTATAACCCTTATTTTATTTTTTTTCATAAAAGGGGGAAAATCATACAAAGCCAATAACAAAATCAGGAGGCACAAGTGGATATGACAAAACCACAAAGCCAGACCTACAACAACGTGTATAAGCAGGACAATCTGGAACTGATAAATATAACCCTTTCATCAAACCAAAAAAAAAGTTGAACATGACTTACAAACAAAATTACAATCACCAACATCATCATAAGAAGGCAAAACAAAAGAATCATTACAAACAGGTGAAGATAGTATATGAGGAGAAACAATTGCAGCGAAACGCCTAGAGAAACATCGTTTGCAAGATAAAACAACAGCCATGAGAGTGCATAAGACGAAAAAAATACAACACATACCTAAAGAAGAACATAGACGACAAGTAGCAGAAGCAGACAGAGGCGAAAACAAAAGGCGGCAACCGATGCTGAGGAGGAGAAGATAAGCATGAAACAAAGTAGAAGTTCCAAGTGAGGAAAAGAAGATAATCACCAATAAAACTCGGATTTCCAGTGGCAAAATAAAAAAGAAGAAGACTTCAGTGTTCAAATAAGAAAAATAGGAAAAATAACTGTAACTAAGGTTTTAGAAATTGATACTATATATAAATATATAGTAATTATTTATTATCCGTTTAGATCAATTAGTTATCTAAATTATTATATAAACATGTTGTTTGAGAGTAATATAATTATTTTGTTTAGATCAATTAATTATCTAAATTATTTTATAAAAATATTATTTAAAAGTAATATAATTATTTTGTATAGTGAGTTAGATGAAAAATCAAACACTAAGTTCTAATAACAAGAAGTTAACCTAGTTAAAACTTTTAATTCAATCAACTTCGACAAAATTGCAAAAATGGTCCATGTGATTGGCAAAATTATGTAGTTTTGGTCCAAAACGAAATGTTGGTGTACCACTGGTCCAATTTTAGATATCTTGTGTGGTTTTGGTCCTTATGGTTGTATTTTCTTGTGTTTTTGGTCCACATCCTACCTAAAATGACTAATATGCCCTTTAAATAATTATATTTTAATTTAATTAATTTATTTTTTATTCTTATAATAAAATAAAAAACAAAAACAAAATAAACTCTCTCTCTCTCTCTCTCTCTCTCTCTCTCTCTCTCTCCACCGTCATCAGACCCATTCCAATTAAGTCACACTCCACCACACCCTAAAATAGGACCACCATCACCACCACTCCGACGGCGACTCTGTTACCCTAGCTCCGGTGGCGGCTTCCATTGCGAGATCCACAACAAGATACATGATACGACGGTAAGACATCTAGATGTCATTAACAAACTTAGGCTCGAACAACTGGAATCACAAAATCAAGTGAAAGATTCAACTGAAGAACCCTAAATTCGCCGTCGTCGACCACCCAGAACAACTGGACTATCACCACCATCGATCGTCGTCACGTTCCCCACGGTTGCTCGATTTCTACACCAATGTTTGATTTTAGCTCGAATTAGGAGGGCAATTTCAATCTCAGATCCTTGAAATTGACTTCGTATCCTCTTATCCTCATCTTGTTCGAAAGAAGTATAAGTTGATCTAGGAGGAGGTCAGGGAAGTAGAACCCTGGCCCTCAACTCTCTTTTGCTCTGATTGCGTCGCCACCATCAACCTCACTTGTTCCCTTCAAGCTACCTTTTGCAACATCGGCCATTCGATAACAAAATCAACATCAATCCACATTTCAGCGCATAGAACAATTTTGTAGTTCAAGACGACCTCTGGAGAAAGATGGATCTGTGGTTCAACATCCACCATTTTCTATAAATCCGTCAATTTTTCGATGTTTTGGTTTGATTTTTCAGGTGAATGGTGGTGGCGAATGGTTATTAGGTTACAAAAGGAGAGGTGATGGTAGGGGAGATGGAGGTGGTCGGGCAGTCGGCAACGAACGGTGGTGATGAATGGAGATAATGGCAAGAGGAGTGAGAAAGAATGATTGTGTGTGTTCTTAAGGGGATGGTGGAGAACAAGGATGGTAGCAGGTGGATGGTGGTGGTAAATGACGATGATGAAATGCGGATGGTGGTAGTGAACGAAAATGGTAGTAGGAGATCGTGGTGGTAAATGATAAGGGTGGGATATGTTGAATGTTCTTGAGAGGGTAACACCTGGAGGGTGTTCTTAAGAGAGAGAGAGAGAGAGAGAGAGAGAGAGAGAGAGAGAGAGAGAGAGAGAGAGAGACTTTTAATAATTAAAAACAATAATATAAATATAGAAAATAAAAAATACAAATATAAAGGGCATAATAGTCATTTTAAGTGTACAGGGACCAAAAACACTAAAAAGATCCAATTTTGGATCAATCGTGCACCAACATTTTGTTTTGAACCAAAACTGCAGAAATTTAACAACCATAGGGACCATTTTTGCAATTTTGTCATCAACTTCTAAACCTATCAATTATAACCTAATTAATAACTATCAAAGAAACTTTAAAAAAAAAAAAAAAACTTTGGAAATTTTTTTCCGAGAATGATTGTTTTATTTTTCAAAAAGAAAACCATTAAAAATATAAAGAATATGTAGAATATACTTTGGTCTTATTGAAAACCGAAGTTAAAAGATTGGAGATAGATGCACCATGCGGTGACGAAACACGTGCCCTTATATCTGCAATCAATTTATAACCCTAATCCCTTCAGGTGAGGCTCGTACCTCTGAAACCCTAGCCACCACCCAACTCTCAACCCCCAAAGAAAGAAACCCTAAACCGATTCTTATCGTCCCACCACCATGGCCAAGAAGCGAAAGTCTCGTGCTTCACAACCTTCCGTTGAAGAACCAGTACCCAAGGAGGAGCCTCAAGAGCAGATCATTGAACCACAACAGCAACAGGAAACTATCGCCAATAATGATGTCGTTAAAGAGGAGGAGCTAGAGCAAGAAGCTGACGAAATCGCTCATAATCTGGAGGAGAATAAAGTAAAAGATGAACAAGAAGAAGAAGAAGAAGAAGGAGAAGAAGAGGATGAAGAAGATCCTCAGGACGATGACGAAGAAGAAGAAAGCGAAGAAGAAGCCACCGTAAACGACGTCAAGGTCGAAACCAACGGCGATGGAGGAGAAGAAACCGAGGATTTGGAGGACGAACCCGTAGAGAACCTTCTTGAGCCGTTCTCAAAGGAACAATTAGTCTTACTGCTCAAGGAGGCCGTTGCAAAGCACCCTGATTTGATTGAAAGCGTTCAGAAGATCGCTGATGCGGACCCTGCCCACAGGAAGATATTTGTGCATGGTCTAGGTTGGGATACCAACGCCGAGATTCTAACGAGCGAGTTTGGAAAATATGGCGAGATCGAAGATTGTAAGGCTGTGGTAGATAAGGTCACCGGAAAATCTAAAGGTTATGCCTTTATACTCTTCAAACACAGGGCCGGAGCTCAGAAAGCTTTGAGGGAACCTCAGAAGAAGATCGGTAACCGCATGACCTCATGTCAGTTGGCTTCTGCTGGTCCAATCCCAGCTCCTCCACCAACCGTTCCTCCGGTGTCAGAGTACACTCAAAGGAAAATATTCGTGAGCAACGTGTCTGCGGAGATAGATCCTCAGAAGCTTTTAGAGTTCTTTTCCAAATACGGGGAGGTTGAGGATGGGCCATTAGGATTAGATAAGCAGACTGGAAAGCCTAGAGGGTTTGCTCTCTTCGTCTATAAGAGTGTGGAAAGTGCCAAAAAGGCTCTGGAAGAGCCCCACAAGGTCTTTGAAGGGCACAATTTGAATTGCCAAAAGGCTGTTGATGGTCCAAAGCCAAACAAACCTTACTTTCAACAGCAACACCAGCATCACAACCATCATCAACATCACAACCAGCATCAGCATCAACAGTATGGTGGTGGTGGTGGTGGTCATCATTACCCTTCAAAAAAGGGCAAGTACAACAACTCAGGTGGCGGTGGTGGTGGTGCAGGGCAAGGTCATTTGATGGCACCTTCTGGACCATCAGTGGGTGGTTACAACCCTGCTGTTCCTCCGGCATTGACTCCTGCTTTGGGGCAGGCGTTGACTGCACTTCTTGCGACTCAGGGAGCTGGACTCGGGAATCTTTTAGGACTTGGTGGACCTCCACAGGGGATGCCGCCACCGATGAACAATGCTGGATATGGAAACCAGGCAGGTGCGAGCTATGGTGGTCAACCAGGGATGCAGGGTGGTTACCCAAATCCACAGCTTGGTCAAGGAGGCAATAGGCCGCCACAAGGTGGTGCACCTTACATGGGCCATGGTCACTAGGTGAGTGTAGAAACTGCTCTCTTTTCATCATCTGGTTTACTTAAAATTTGTTGTTTGTGCAAAATGTTACTGATTTAACGTGGCTGCAAGTGTTTTTAAAAATTTCTACATTCTCTTGAGTTCTTTTAAGCAGTCAGTCTTCAGCAATCATGTTATACAATCCAATGATCCATCAAGGAATTTCGAAAAAGAAGTATGAAACTTTAAAATTCTTGTTTTTTTATGGCAAAAAAGATATGTTTTTACATTCTAGTTATTTATGGTCTTTGAAAACGCAAGTGTAGGACTTAATTTCATATAGTCACCTGCTTTTTTCTATTTAACAAGGAGGTATATTAGTATATATTTCTGTTTGATGATTATTCGATCTTCTAACTTCAAGTCTGTATCACTTATTTCTTATGCATTTAGTTTACTGATTAATCTTATAAATAACTTGCTGTTAATCACTAACACTTGCTTTATCATCTTCTAGTTGTGCTTTTCATAGCCATACCAAGTAACTCCATGTGGGAAGAAAGATGAATTCTCATTTCAGTCATTTGTTGCAGTAACTTTTGATTGAAGTCCCATGCATTGCTATTTACTTTTGATTTGATGGACTTAATGGGGCCTGACTTTTTACAAATTTGCCCTCTTTTCTCCAATATTATTTAAAATCATCTATAACACTTGATGGAAAAAAGAGAAGACATCTCCATTATATATGAAGATTATGAATGTGTGTTTATGTGTATACTTGTATTTGATTAAAGAGCATAACTACATAGTGTTTTTTCGGTTTTCACATCTGCATTATATTTAAACTTTTGTTTAGCAACTATTATTATATTTGAAGAAATGTTTTTTTTATATGAATTTTTGGACAAGTAATAAAGTCATGAATATGATGGTTTTTCCGTTTCAGTTAAAGCAAAGAGTTTTCAGCTGGGAATCTTGTTTTCTGAAATATATTTTTTTTTTTTTTATAATGCAAAATATTTATTGTGCAGATTCCATTCCATTCCATCATGTTTTTGTTTTGGACTCCTGCTGATTCTTCTCAAGTTCCGGCATGCAAATGAAGTGTTTTCTTTCTAATATTATGTTGTAGCAAAAAAAGTAACCATTTGCTTAAAGAGCAGAATCGTTAAACCTGTATTTCCCTATTTTCAGTTACAATTACTAGTATTTTGAAACTATGTAGTAGTATTTCTTTCACTTTTATTAAGTATCCTCCTTTAAAAATGTTTGACTTTAACTCTCATACCTTTTTTTTTTTCATTGTTTTTTTTTTTTTTTAAACTATGATTGCAAATGGGGTGTTAGTTATTATTTGGCTTACTTTTTGTTGGCTACTTTTTCTTTATGCTTGTTGTGGTTTAGAATGAAAGTCTCACTGTAGCTTGGCCTTCAAATTCAACTGGTGAGTTAAATCAGTGTATCCAAAGGCAAAGAAGGTGATGCACCTGAGTGAGACCTCATTTATGGATTTCAGGTATTTCAGTTTTTCCTGTTACAACAATGTAAAAAAATTTGCTTGATGTTTTTTTGGAAACATGTGGTAAATGCAAGAAGCAACAATGTAAATTTTTTCTTATAGCATCTTGCTTTCGGTTTTTCCTGTTACAAAGATGAATTTATGTTAGTTATAAACAATGTGATTTTTATTGTTATGATTTTTTAATGACATGAAATCTCAAGTAGAGTGCTATATGAAAAATTTTCAGAGTACAAAAAACAATGTCTTTAAATGAACATAAGCTGTGAGTATTGAAATGGTTTGTTAAAGAAAATGTTGAGATTTGGGGTTTTTTTTGAGTTTTGATGTACATGGCATTGGCAGCAGAATATCTGTAGCTGAAGAAAGGTTAATATTTGGAGCCTTACATTTTGAAGACTACTGAAAAGAGGTAAGAGGTATGTTAAGTTTATGATCTCAAGGACTTGGAATTCAAGATTCCATTCCCATTACCCGAACGGAATTCGAATCCATTTTTTCTCGCTCCAAAAAGATAAAAAGTTAAAAAAAGTATTTGAACATAAAGGAAAATATAAAAAATTTCATTACTAAATTATACAAATCATACTACCCTTGTCATTTTTGGGATGACTATGGTGGACTGGAGAGGAAGAGGTTGGAGTATGAATATGCATTTTTTTTAATGATAATGTTAATGATAAATAGTAGTTACACTATACAACTAAAACTTGTAAATTGTAATGGCCAAAATCTCGATTTTTGTATTTAAAATTTGCGAGATATATTTTCTTTACGGCTTAAAAAATCGTAACTCAGTTCAAAGCTTTTTATTGTGTTCGTAACTCAGTCAAATTTTTGATTCCGTTGGCTTAAATATCTCAACATACGAATGTCTGGATTTGTGTTTTTTAATAACCCAAATAATGGTATTTTTGAAACGTAATTACCAAAATACTGTAAACTTGTGTGATCTGATTATTCGTTTAAAATAAATTCTAAAACAAACTCCTTACAAACTCAAAAGCAATTTTACATCGCTTTTAAAGCGTAATAATCTATTTTGCCTACACGTCTATAGTATTAATTGATTTCGTTCAAACTTAATCCCTTTAACCTTTTTGTTATGTACGAGTATATTATTATTCCAAGTTCAAACACCCATCCTTCCCAACTTCGAGGGTGTGTGCTAATTTAAGTTGATAAACGTTTTTTAACATATTAGCTTATAGTGATATAAAAAAAAAGAGTTTTTAAAAACAGTGTTTAGATAAAAGTTTATGCGGTTTTTTGATTAGTTTATGCGGTAAGGTATCAAAATGTTATAAGTTTTATTGTTTGGTAAAACGACAAAAAAAGGCTTCCTAAAGTTATGGGACTACTATAAGTCTCATGGAGTTTTTGATAAGTTGAAAGGAGCAACTTATCATATATATATATATATATATATATATATATATATATATCCAAACACTTGTGTTGGTTTATATCGGTTTGGAACTGATAAGTTAAAAAAAATATTTTTGTAAGCTATCTCCATCCATTGTGAGAGGGGGTTTTAATAGTGGCTATGGTGATAGGCCTACACCGCCGCTGCTGAAAAAAGGGTGCTAGCGGCTGTGTTATCAACGGTGGAAAAGGGATGCCATGGGAAGGAGATGGCCGGCAAGAAAAAAGATGGTAGGAGGCGGGGATTCCATAGCTTTTGAATTCTTTATGTAAAAGGTTGAAGGTTGGGTGATCCATAATATAGTATTATGGTAGGTGGTGTAATATTGAACGTATGGAATTTGTAGGTGTCATGTCAAAAACGCTTGTTTTGTGTGGGAATGGAAGACTAATAAAATATTTCCCTGAGGTGAGAAATTATATATTTAGATTCTTTTATCTAAAATTGGTTAAAAGTTTGAAAGGTATTGAAATAACCTTTTACCTTTTTATGACGAAAAATATTAAGATATCAATCAATTGTGATAAGAAATCAAATTATGCCCTTTTAAATCCTAAACTTTACGCCATAACTATTGACGGAATCCTTTTAAATCCTAAAATCTATAAATGGTAAACTATATATCATAATCCATGAACTCCAAACTTTAAATTGTAATCCATAGACCTTGAACCGTGGACACTAGAATAGGGGTGGGTGAGTATTTGGACATGTGAACCTGAATCGTTTTTTTGATCTTCGGGTCGGTTTTTGGTTATACGATTTGAGCAAAACTGGTCTAGACCGGTTGGTTTTGGGTAAAAATCCGTCTTGGACCTTTTTATTTAAAAAAAAAAAACAAAATTTCCAAAAATGGTGGTATTTAATTTTTATAGCTTTTCAGTTCAAATTACAATTTTTTTTAGATTGATGGTCCTTTTGAGTTAGTTTGTTTGTGATTTTATAAATTGAAAAGACAAAATTGTTCGTATTATATTTAGACAAAATTACAAAAATGGTCCTTGTGATATACAATTTTTTGGGATTTTAGTTCAAATTGCCCTTATTATATTTAGACAAAATTGCAAAAATGATCCTTATGGTATGTAAAATTTTGGGGTTTTAATCCAAACCCCAAGTTTTTTGGATTCATGGTCATTTTGGAGTGATTTATGTGTAGAAATGGTCCTCAGACTTAACTCCTGTTAAAAAGGATATGTTAATCCCCTCATGCACCTCATACATGAGTTAAGGACAACGATGACATAAATAGCTATGGTGGTTTCTTATGTTTGAGGTGGAATCAGACGGTGGCTTCCTACTCTGGAGGTGGAGAGTCGGTAAGATAGGGTTTTCGACGAATCTTAACAACGGCGACGAAGTTTAGGGTTTTCATATCCAACAACGTTGCAAATATGGTTGGACGGAATTGGTTCAGATCTATGTCGCCGGAGGTGGTTTGGGTGGTGGTCCGACAGGAGGTGGTGGGTCGGCAACAATATATATATATATATATATATATATATATATATATATATATATATATATTATATATATATATATATATGGGATATAATATTAAGTGCTTCAAAGAACTAGGAACTTAAGAGATAGGCTAAGAGAATCGGAAAGAGAGTGTTTAGAGAGACATGAGGGAAATAACAACAGAATTTTTTATTTGTATGAGAATTCGATGATCTTTACAATCGATTACAAGCCCTTTTATAGGAAAAGATTGCGTACTATTTACACTTAAATAATTACACTTAAATAATTAACAGACAGACTATGACATTACATAAAGTAGGAAAAGACCACACACCGAATAAAGTAAAAGCACATTTCTAAGAGTCGGAAATAATTCTATAACGACAAATTATAATTTCATAAATGGCCCTTGAACTTGATATGACTTGTCTTTGTTCTCAAATGGCCCCTAAATTTATTCAAGCTTATCACTTTGTATCCCTTGTTGCAAAAACATCATTCGCTAAAAATCTCGATGAGTACTATCAATAGAAACCGGTGATCCTGGTTCTGTGTCAACCTGTTCTTCACTGTTTATAATATCTTCTAGTCTTAATAGTGTATCTCCTTCGCCGCTGAATGGCAAGAGCATATGCCAGTTTTGATGAGACCAAATTTGTAAGTAGTGTCCTTCTGCTAAGAGTTTATAATTTTCCCAACAAAAGCTTGCAGGTAGTATAGGTGTTTTTTGAGCTGTGCATATATCTTCGTTCGAAAGATTCTGTAGAGTCCCAAAATTTATTTCTTGTTTGCATGATAACTTTTTAAGATAACCATGTTGTACTGTTCTTTGGGTGATGAAGATTCTTTTTCTAGCAGGTCTGTAAGTATGTTCATCTGCTGCTGGAAAAGAAGAAAAAATTTTGCACCCAATAATTGGACTGATGCTGTGAGAGGCGATGTTTCCGGCTGTTAAAATAAATTTTCTCCTAATTTATTAAGAAGACTTTCTGTGCTGCTATTGAGGCAGAATTCTAAGTAATCTATCATTCCATTGTGATAAAAATTAATTATCTGTTCTTCTGGCATATCTGTAGTTTTAGGTTTATTTGTAACAGGAGTATGGGAGTATCTTCTCCTTCCTCATTCAATCTTTGGATTACTGTAACTCCTTTATAATTGATTTCTTGAAAAGCAATCTGTACAATTTTTTGCTGCAATTTATATAGAATTGCTGGAAATTCTATACAATTTTTTGAGATACCATTTGCTCAAATTCTTTGAACTGATCAAGTACTGGCCTCAACGTTTGTCTCCAAGGGAGATCTAAAATGCGAGCTTTAAAGCATTCATAATTTCTGTATATTGCTGTTTTTCATTTCTCATCTTTTTTCTCATTCCTTTGTATAAGCTGTATATTTTTTGCTTCAAGAATTTTTATTTTTTGTCTCAAAATATTGTTTTCAATCTGGCTTTGTATCTGCTGTGTATCTTTTCCAGATTGGATAAGTTGTTGTTGTAACTTTGCAATAATTTCCTCATGAGCTTTGATCATTTGCTTTGGACTAGTTTTTGCTATTTCTGAAAATGTTTTCACCTGTTCGGGTTCTATGAAAAAACTGTTTAGCCCAAAATGTTCCCGAGCAATATTCATAGCTTCTTGGAAACTATAACATCCCTTGTAAAGGGGATTTTGACACTGTATATATTTTATAACTGTTGCCCAATTATTAAAAATCCCAACTTTAGTGCCTCTTATGACAACATAATGTGTAAACTTCTTTATTTGTTTTTCAGGAGTCAATGGTGATTGTTTATGAAAGTAAAAACTTAAGGCATTGAGAATTTGAACTTTAAATGATGAAGCCTGTGGAACTGTCTGAATATGCC